GGCTGACCCGCGGGGCCGCTCGGCCAAACCCCACAGTGCCACGTGGCAGTTCTTCCCCTCGTGCTTGAAGAGTTTCAGGCCAGTGCCGTCGCCCTCGACGACGCCCTTGAGCGTCATTGCCTGCATCTCCTCGTAGCCGAGGTTCGCCTCCTGCCAGCGGAGCCAGCGGAAGAGCTTCATGACGGACCGAGAGCGAGACATGCCGACATCCTTGCAGAGCTGCTGCAGCTCGGGCCTGGTGGCTGCATGGTACTTCTCTACAAACTCCACGAGCGCAGGCTGTGGGAACGGGTACTTGACCTGGGGGAGAACGCAGAATTTGATGCCATTGTAGATGTCACCGCATCTGCTGCCCCGAAAGAAGACCGAGGTGAGCTTTCTCTTCTTGACCGCCAGCGTGGCCTGGAGCGCCTTCTTCCGCTTGGTCTGCGGGCCGTTCCCTGTCTGGCCGTGTCCGTCGAGCTTGGTGCAGGTACAGCCTGCAGGGCACCGAGGGCAAGGGTAGCTGCTGCAGTTACTACGCGCACCCGCCTTGGCCAAGCGCCACTTGACGAGAGCCTTCCACGCTTTGGCCATGCTCTGCTTTTCTGCCAAGGCCAGCTTTGCCTCGTCCTTGGTGCTCCTGGTCAAGCAGCGGCGCCTCTCGTTCGCCGCCTTCTTGCGCCCCTTCGCTGCCTTCCTGGCCGCGGAGACCTTCACAGGCGCGCCGTGCCCGATGGGAGATACCCCTGTGTCTAGTTGGTCGAGCCTCGTCCGCCCGCGGCGACGAAGGCAAGTTGGTGTTCCTCCTTTTTCTGTTTCTTCCCCCTCCCGTCCTCCTCCTCCTCCTCCTCCGTCTCCTCCTCCGCCTCCTCCTCCTCCTCGTCTCTTCCTCCACGTGTATCTCCCAGGGGGGCGGCATGCCCGCGTGGACCCTGCGGCTGCACTTGTGCGCCACCCAGCGCTGCAGCTTGTGGGCCCTGCGGTGGATGAGCTTCGTCTGTATCCCCGTCACCTTGAGGCCCGACCCGCCTGCCCTGAGCGCCTCCACCACGGCGCTGGGGGAGTGGGCCTTCTGCACGCTGCGGAGGAGCTGCTGGGCGAGCTTGGGGCAACTCTTGAGGTTGCGGCCAGCCTTGCCGCAGTGCTGGCACACTCGCTGCTGAGGCTTCGGCATCACTGCAAGCGGCGCCTCTTAGCAGAGTCTGGCTCTGGCTCCGGCTCTGGCTCCTCCACGGGGCCCACGGGGCCCTCTGCCTCCTCGTCGCTGTCGAGCTCCGTGTCTGGCACGAAGCTGCCCTCCTCGCTCTCGCTGGCCTCCTCGTACCCGCAGGGTCCGAGCCCGTTGTTGTCCTCCTCGTCGGACAGCCAGTCCGTCACTGGGTCGTCCTCGTAGTCGAACTCCCAGTTGTGGTCGGGGTCGAACCAGCAAGGGAGGCAACTTACCACGGAAGAGCTGCGTTGCAGCCCCGGGAACGAGTGCCAGCCACAAGGAGACCTGCAGTAGTCACACCTGGGCATGCTAAAATGGCACGCTGGGAAGCTCTAGGCCTTGACCCAAAACGGCTATGTGGAGAGAGGAAGGGGGGGAGGGGGAGGGAGGGAGGGAGGGGGGGAGTAGTAGTAGTAGTAGTAGTAGTAGTAGTAGTAGTAGTAGTAGTAGTAGTAGTAGTAGTAGTAGTAGTAGTAGTAGTAATAGTAGTAGTAGTAGTACGTACGTACGTACTAGTAGTAGGTGTAAATGATTAGAGGTAGTAGTAGGTAGTATGCAGTAGGGAGTAGGTCGTGGGTAGTAGTAGTAGTAGTAGTAGTAGTGGTGGTGGTGGTGGTGGTGGTGGTGGTGGTGGTGGTGGTGGTGGTGGTGGTGGTGGTAGTAGTAGTAGTAGTAGTAGTAGTAGTAGTAGTAGTAGTAGTAGTAGTAGTAGTAAGTAGTAGTATAGTAGTAGTAGTAGTAGTAGTAGTAGTAGTAGTAGTAGTAGTAGTAGTAGTAGTAGTAGTAGTAGTAGTAGGTAGTTGTAGTAGGTAGTAGAAGGTAGTAGAAGGTAGTAGTAGGTAGTAGCAGGTAGTAGTAGGTAGTAGTAGGTAGTAGTAGGTAGTAGTAGGTAGTAGTAGGTAGTAGTAGGTAGTAGTAGGTAGTAGTAGGTAGTAGTAGGTAGTAGTAGGTAGTAGTAGGTAGCAGTAGGTAGTAGTAGGTAGTAGGGAGAGGGAGAGGGAAAGAGGGGAGGGGGTGGGAAGGGTCCCGCAAGTTCCCCTCTGAATCCAGGTTGTTCCCAAACAGTGCTTGCAGCAAGTGTGCCGCGCGTTGCTTATCATACTCCATGTCATGTGAGGATGTCTCGAACGAGAGGCCCATAGAGGTGCAGGAATCAGTGAATTGCGATGTTCGCATGTATGAAGAAACTGCAAGAACCATGTAGAAAACAGCACCAAAAGGCACAGTGTTTTTTGGTAGTGGTCCCCATGCTAATCTGTATATCACCAGGAGCTACAGTCACGGACCCCTCCCTCCAGTAGGCCATCCAGCATGTACGACGCACTACCACCTACGACCTTGTCCAACTGCCCAGCCGCAGCAATCTAGTAACGAACCACAACGCCTCGGAAACGAGATGATCACTTTGTACCACTGGTGATAGGACGAACACGAACCACGCACTACAACGAACTACAGCTACCACCTAACACAACCTAGTACGAACAATAACCACCTACGACGTACCACCAACCAACAAACATCATCAGTGACGCACAACACACCTACATCGAACGATGGTGACGATCAGGACCACCTACGAGAGAACCACCAGGTGCAAGTGCACCCGTTAGGATATATATATATATATATATATATATCTGCGGCAAGTCCCGCAACCGTACCAGCGCAGCACCCTGTTGGAGGACGCTTCGAGCACCGCATATAATACCGTAACTGGTGATACTTGTCATTGGTATTCCTGAGGGCTACCTGGCCGGCTTATGGTTGTGTTGGGGTCCTGTGGAGCTATAGTGTGGTTTTCTTGTGACCCTCTTGCAGATCTTTCTTGGACCGTCTCGTGGGCTGTTTTGGGCCTCGCTTTGTTATCTGAGGAGTCTCTTGGGGCTGTCGTGGGGGCGTCATGAAGCTTTCCTGGGCTGTCAATGGCTTCCTTAGAGTCTCTCGGGCCGTCGTGTGTCCTTCTTAGGGCTGTCCTGGGCCGTCTGAGGGGCTTCTGGAGGGCTCTTTTGGGTTCTGTCTGGCTCCTCCGGGGCGCTCTTGGAATCTTCTTGAGCCGTGGGCCAGAGGAGGCGCAACGTACTCAACAGCAAGTGGAGTGTCTTCGGACCTCTTGGAGGGCTCAGCGGCATTATTTTCGATGTCTTGGACATTTAGGGCCCCCGTGGCGCATATTCGGGTCGTATTGGGGACTGTCGGCTGCCTATTGAATCATCTTGGGGCACCTTGGCGGCCTCGGTTGCCTTAAGGCCGCCTTGGAAGGCGTGGAGCGTCTTTGGGGGCCTGGGGGAGGCGGCATGGCCGCCCATGGTGCCTCGTGAAGGGGGGGCTGCACACACCTGAGCGAGGTTCGGAGGCGGGTGTGCGGTCCCTGGAGGACTTACAGGAAGCCTACATGACATGGTTTGTCAGTCTAGCAGGCATCAATGCGCCAGGGGACACGGTGGCGTATGCCTGAAACGTTGCTCCCAAACTTGATTGCCCATGCGAAACTGGGGTTCGGGGGGGCGGGCATGGTTTCGAACATCAGGATCGCCCGACCGTGGTTGAAATATACAGATTGCCGGCCGGGCAGCAGTTTGATTATGTCAGTGGTGATCGGACGGCTTCTGGCACTGCCCGACCGCGGTGGAACAAATTGATCGACTACGCGGCGTACTAAGAATTCTGTTTTGATTATTACAGTTTGCTGTTCACTGTTCCCTTCCGCGAACACAATGGTTCAATCGTTGTCCCCACGTTCTCTCTCTATCTCTCTCTCTCCCTCTCTTTTCTCGTCCGCATTGCGATAGAACCAGTATTTGGTCGTCCGCGGCTGATTGGCGCAACTCCTGCGTCATGCTCCGTGTCCGCGTCCGCGTTTGAGGTTGAAACACGACTGGCCGCGGTCGGGTTGGAACACGACTGGCCCATAATGTCTGACTAGGGTCCCAAGTTCACGGCTGGGATTGTTCGACGACGGGTTAGTATCAATTTAGAGAGTTGTTTGACCGCAGCATCAGTTCAAAGGGAGCGTGCCGAATTTTGGATGGTGCAACCGCAGTCCAGGAAGATTTGGTTGGTTGATGGTTCATAGTAGTTGTGTTCCCGAGCGCATGGTAAGCATGGCGTTGTTGCGCGGCCGCGTTTGAATCGCATGATTAGTTTGTTCGTTGAATCTCGGTGCGATAACGAATTAGAGTGCTTGCCCATGGTCTACGGGTTCATGTTTACATTATGTATGCCATAGTGTTTGTGGCGAGACGCTTCCGCTTTGGAACAAAATAGCGCTGCGTTTATGCTATGCCAGGAGTTAGCTTGCCGCAATTGGTTGGCTCAAGTACCACTGCCACAGCATAGCGCAACACATATCACCGTCATTAGCATTATTTTGCAGAATGAGGAGAATGAGGAGGAGGAGGAGGATGAGGAGACAGGAGGAGGGCTCACGCAATCACGTGGACGACGATGACGATTACTCACAAGCGAACTAAGGAGATTCGCATGCAGGGCCCAGTCCCACCGTCGGAGTATGTGTTCTTGGGATGTCATTGGTAGAACGAGTTATGTTCCAGTGCCGATGAGGCGACTGCAAACATGTTATTTCTGGAAATCTGAGCCCAGACGTGGAACACGTATGCGTCGAGCTGGTGAATGTTCCGATGGATGACCGCCATTGGTGAAGGCAGCGTTTGGTAAGACAACCGCTTGCGTGCATCTCGCGCAGGCCGTGGGGCAGAGAAGGACACCGCGCTGCCCACTTCTCCCGGCACTGCTGGAGAGGCCCTCTCACCGCGCGCGGCACATGGCCCAATTGCGGCTGTTTCGGAGCAAGGGGGCGCGACACTTGCCCTTTACTCTCCTTATATGAGGGGCCTTGGAGCAGACACCACCAGAGCCTCTCTTCCCCCTTCCCTTTCCTTGGAGGTGAGGGAGAGGGGGGGGATGAAGGGAGGTTGTGAGGAAGAGGAGGGGGATTCGTCACCCTGTGTTGGAACACTTGTCGCTCTGATTGAGTCCGCTTGGATCGCCCCGTCGCCACGGCTGGATTCCCTTCGAAATCTTCGTCAGAGCGCGCGCCAGGAGAGGTTGGCTTTGAGCGAGGAGGCTCTGGAGGGGATGTGTGTGAGAGGGGAAGAGGGTAGAAGGATGTGGTGGTGCATGTATTCTGGGCCCCACATTACACGTTTTCGTACGCACTTTCCGTACCGTTAACTCCTCTCGGAGTTGTCGCGCCGTTGTTCGCGCCTCCCGCGGCTATGAGACACAGGCGCCGCAGCGGCTGATTTGCCGACAGCCGCACTTGCTAGCCGCTGCTGCACCCCTGCCCCTGAAGGATGATGCCTCCTGCTGCCGCTGCTGCCGCTGCTGTTGCTGCTGCTGCTGCTGCTCTTCCTCCTCCGCCACTCAGGCTATCTTTACGCATCCTGCTGCTCCTCCTACTGCTCCTCAGGCTCGTCCTCCTGCTGAGGAGGCAGGAGGCGAAGGGAGGATGAGGAGTCGGAGGATGAGGGGGAATTGGAGAAGGATGAGGAGGAGGAGGGGGATGGGGGATTGAGGGGGGGACACCTGCTTGCAGGGAGTATGGCAGCGGGGAAAGCCTGAGGAGGAGGATGGAGTATAAGGGAGAGGGGGGGCGGGGAGGAAGCAGGGAGGACCATTCTCCCTGAGACACTGACCGCACCGCGTTGCGCCGCAGGGATCAGATGCGGCTCTCCAGGCACGACAGGCGAGGAGTTGGCCACAGCGCGCGTCAATAGTCAAGAGCCCATGCCGGGGGTACCACGATAGGAAGACTGAGTACAACCACTTCGGTCTGTTCACGAACTTTCTTGGGCCCCGATTTGCAACCGCTCGCAATGGTCAGATAGTAACTTAACTAGAATTGGCTATACCGTGATCTTTCAGGTAACGACAGGACGGCCTGTTTTTGCATAGCCTCTTGAGAGTGTTTGAGGCCACAGCCTCAGAGGAGCATGTTGAGAGCCTCTGAGCCTCTGGTAAGCTTCCGAACGGTTTTTTCTGAGAAGCGCCTGGGAGGCTTATGGGAGGCCTCGGCGAGACTCGAGAAATTCTAGACGCTTCGCGTATCCCCACCAGTCATACCGCCCTCTGGACTTCTCCTTGCGGGCCGCAAATCAAAAAAAATATCCCCACCAGACCCACCGACACTTGGGAGGTGTCGTCTGTTCTCCGTGGGTGGGCCTTGGAGGGCCACCGACGAGCACAGGGTGCTCTGTGAATGAGTCCGCCTCGTCACTAGGCCTTTTGTGCTCTTTTCCTGCTCTGTCCTCTCGCCTCTTCCCGGGCTACGTCCCTAGCGGCTGCAGGGGTACAGGCCTTGTGCCCGGCGTCTGTGGCGGTTCCGCCTGCGAGCTGGTGCCTTCAGGGCAACTCCTCGTAGCTTCCACTGGCAATCGCTCGGTGGTTCTTTGCATGTGCGCTCTTACATCGGGCTGTTGGGCCGCGTGGCATCGGCCTGCGCGTCCAGCTGCTTGGCATTAATTTTCGTGCCCGGCTCCTGCTTGTGCAATTGTCTTGATTCCGGATAACATGCGGCCGAAGCTTGCGAGCACGATCAAAGGTAACTTCACACCAGAGACACGCCCAAACTTGCTGCTCTTCAGCCTCTGCCCGACGGAGCGGGTGCTCAGGATCAGTAACTGCATGCGGCACCCCAGCATCTCTCAGAATGTCAAGAATAGCGTACTTAGCAGTACGCGTTAAAGCAAGACGGTGAACATGTCTGGCATGTGATGTCAGGGTGTCTCTGATGATGTTATTCTATGCTAGGGCTGATCGACGAATTCGCATTCCCAAATGCGGAGGTCCTCGGAGGGGTCGGGGAGGAGATGGCATTGAGCATGAAACGTCCAGACCCGCTGCAAATCCTCAGCGATCAGATGTCCCCAAGACCTATGACATTCCGCCCTGCACGCCGTAGCCAGAGCCAGAATATTTGGGGGGGAGCCACGATTAAGACGCCGCCCGTAAAGCCGAAGGCGCTGGGCGCTTAATGGGGCCCCCAACGGGGGCTTGAGAACCTCGCCCACGATAGCCAGCTTATTGAGCGCCGAGGGGCCCCTGCCAGGCTGCTTGGCAATGGCCCGATAGTAGCGCACCATACCGTCCTCAAGGCTCCGAGACTGAGCTGCAGTGAGGTATCCCCGCGCACTTGCTTGCAATAATTTGCTTGGACAGACCAGGGAGTCGAGTGAGTCGGGTTCAGTGCAAGGCTGTCGTAGAATGCGTCGCCGAAGGTCACGTCCAGGCACTTGCACGTGACTGCGACCGATGAGCCAACCCTGTGCCCATGGAACAATAATCGTCTTGTGTAGTACCAAAGTGGGTGTGCAGATGTACCGCGTGGGTTTGTAGGGCACCCGCCTTCTCCGTGGGGACCTGGGACATGCCGCCTAAATAGGACCGCGGGGTCTTCTTTGCACGCGCGGCCCCGGGGCCCCGAAACTGGGAGAGAAACGCCGAATTATCAACCGCGCAAACAGAAGCCTTTCTCCGCAAAAAAGAGCTGCGACTTCTGCCGCCAATATCGGGGCGATGGCAAGTAACTGCTGAGGTCTGCCGCGCAGAAAGAACACGGCGTCGTTAAAGAAATCGCCTTCGAGAGAGTGGGCCGCGCGGGCGGGGGTGTCCTCGGCAGTGAAATTTACGAGCGACGCATGCGCAGCCGTCGGGGTGCGCAGCGCGACGCCGAGCGGTAGGAGGCGAGATAGCACCGACTGCATCGTATACGACATGACGAAGTCGAAACGACGTCTCCGAGTTGTCGCCCAGGACCCGAGCCCATCATAGGAAATGCAACCTTAGAGGCGTTAGGTACATAAAACCATGACCCATCGCATGCGTCGGCGATCTGTGCACGACGGAGGGGAGAAATTCCACTAGAGACGAGGAGAGGGGGATGCTGCTGGGCATCCTCCTGCAACTCTGCCATAGCAGCTGGCGGAAGTCCGCTTGGCTTCAACGGCGACGCCAACGAAAAATCATCGCGCGCCGCGTGCGTGACTAGTTCCCGCACGCGCTTGTAGTATGCCTGCGCCACGTCAAGAAATACTAGCAACACTGACGCCTTGCGCGCCTCGGCCAGCCGCTGAAGAAGACGCGGCTGAAGAGCCCCAACTTCTGCACCTCTGCCTGGGGGCCCTCCGTACTGACGTTCCCCCGCGACAGCCTCTAAGGCTGGAGTAATATCCCCATCGGATGATGCTGCGACACCGTTTGCCGAAATGGGAGGGGCCCAACATTGAACGGCGACAGGCGTGCGTAGAGACGCCCCCAGACTTGAAGAGGGGCCAGTAGAAGCCGCCCGTCCACTGAATGGGTGCACGTATCGGGCCAGCTTCGCAGCAAACGAGGCAGCAATCTTGCCGGATAAACCGTCAGGACCAGTAGCCGAGGCTTTGGCTTCCCTGTGCGAAGTTCCCAAATCGCCCAAGGAAGGAATCTGGCCCGCAGTCGTCGGAACATCCATGAGGACCTCGGGGGGTAACTCCGAGCGATGCTGAAAAAAAACAATCCGGGTCGGAAAAAGGCACCGCTGGCGCCGCCTCGTCCTTGCCAAAATTGTCGGCCCAGGGGTCCGCAATTTGTATAAATTGACGAAGAGGCTGACCGTCCTCCTGCCCATGCAACAGCGGGAGAGGCCGCGAAGGGAGCTTGCGGCGAGAGCAGGCGCCCATCGCACGTAACTTGGCAAAAGCAGTCTTGAAATCTCGACAGGACCACGCACTGGACGCCTCCGCCGCCAGGTCAGCCACGTGCTGCTCGGCATCAAGCTTGATGGAGTGATTCACCACAGTAGTGAGTGCAACAGTGCATACCCATTACACGTAAGCCGGTAGCAAGGCAGCTCATACGTAAGCACGAATGCCAACAACATCGGCCAAGCCCCAAGCAAGCCGAGGAGGAATCGGTGAGCCCCCGCTCGTTCAGCACGAAAACTCCCGTGAAATAGCCGTGGAAGGTGGCGACATCTCCTTCCAAGAACTGCAGGCGCTCTTGAAGAGTACCCCAGGGAAGCCAAGACTTGCCGCAGTGCGACGAAGCCTTAGTTGACGAGCGTTGTGCATGGCGTCGTCCTCGAGAGATCGAACGATCGACGTCGTGACCCTCTGGATCGGTCGGAGTTGGCGAAGCCAACCTTGCTAGGGACTTCGCATGCTTCGCGCGGCGATGCGCGAGCAGCTGAGGCGGCGACAGTGCCAAGTGCCACGCAGGGGCAGTGCCCAGGCGTGAAACAGGATGGCCAGGCGCATGCGCTTGAAGAGCACCGCGAGCGAGCGGTAGCTTCGAAGGTGCACAGCGCGGTCATCCATGGCCTGTAGCGAGCCCTTAGGCACCCAAGACTGTCTTGGCTTGCGACCTCTCGGGGTAGCCCTGGGCGGGAACGAGGACTCCAGAGACTCCTTCAGGTGCCCAGCAACGATGGCGAGGAGAGCGGACGTGGGGGCGTCGAACGACACGTATGGCCTAGAATTCAAAAGCGACCGAAACAGCGAGCGGGCTTCAGGGTTGGAGAACTTGTCGGGATCACACTTGACCTTCAGAGCCTGGCCGGGGCGAAGACAGGTGGGTGACGTGGGAATACGCGCCAAAATGCCAACAGGTCGATGATCCACCACATTGGTGGGCAGATCAGCCTTGTCAATAACTCGCTGCTGAATCACCTCCGCTCCATTGGAGCAAACGGTGCAATCAAGTCTGTGGCCCAAGCTCTGCAGCCGACCAGGAGGAAACCAAGTGCTCGCAGAGGGCTGGCCAGGTTCCAGAAACGTAGATGGTGCCCACAAATCCAGTTTAGCCAGGAACCGATGGAAACACTGTCCTGGGAAGTTCTCCACGGCCGCCGCAACGCCCCCGGCGAGGCGGGAACGTGTGGACCCCAAACGCGCATTGGCATCCAGGAGATTGATGAGCTCAGTCCCTGGAGTACGGACCCTGGCTACAATATCAAAACGGCGTTTCCACCATTGCTGGGCATTCGCAGGCGATGCCTTGCTGTGAGGCGCGTGCCCAACGACAACGTCTAGGCGAAAGCTGCCAACTGCAATGGCCACCACCAGCAGCCGAGGAGCGGCATACTGTACTCGGCAATGCACAGAAGACACAAGCGGAGGGAAGGACGGGGATGCCGTTATTGACCCAAAGCAAACACCCATACCTCCCATCGGAGGTGCATTGAGCATGGATAACATGGAATTTGCCAATGGTCGAAATTCCACTGCGAGGAAACCTGGCTTCAACAGCCCC